TTTGAGCTGGAGAGCAAGCAGGGGATGGGGTCTGTCTGATTTGGAGATCTGGCAGATTTGGCAGCGACCGAATCTCCAAATCAGATTCGGGACAGTGATTCAAATCAGCAAATCGAATCACTGTCCCTCGAATCGCCCGAATCCAAAGCAAATACTAGCTGCTTCGCACAGGCCTACTACTTATGCTCTTTTTGTCTTCTACCACAAAGAAGTTTATAGAGTATTTAACTACTTAAAAAGCTTTACCAGCTAACTGCCACAATAACCAAAGTCATGGACCTGAAACAATGAAGTCAATGAACGTTTTCTTCTACAAAACTACTATGAGTTTGGGGTCAGATCCTTTATGACCATGTAACAACCAGGCCTCCAGGTAGATTTTCAGAAAACACTGCATTCAACAGCTCCCACTGAGAGCAACAGGAACTACTGGGCAGGGAACACTTCTTAAAATTTGTCTCTCTCTCCTAACACACAGACACAAGGAACAGACTGATTGTAACTGCAGCGCTTGTAAACAGAGGCACAACAGCTACACGTTACATTTAATCCATCTACTATACCTCAGTCAGACCCAGAGTATCAAATTAACCCTGCACTGTAACCAGTTATGTCAGACTGGCATTTGGCCCGCAGCACAAGTTTCTTCAGGTTTACCTTCTCATCTGTGTTGATGTATTTGTTGAACCTCTTGAATGCATCAATGTTGAATTTCATCAGTTCTCCCAGAAGGTCAAAGTAACTCTGAAGCACGTCCCGTGATTTGCATTCGCTGTCAACAATGCAATAGAGAATATGCTGGCAAAAGAAGAAAGCATGTTAGCTCCACATTTTAGCTCAAGTCACTAGTAAACAAAGTCTAATGCTAGTAATCTAGCTTCTGCTTCAAAAGTTTTTCCATGTTTCATTCTGACATGATAAAATTAGAGAAGCGGTTTGGAATTTTTCAATAGCAGTCTCCAGAGCATGAGAGATTTAAACCTAAGATCCAAACCACTCAGAAAATCAGTTTTAAATCTAACCAAAATCTAGTTACTATGACCCTGCATAGTATTTAGATTCCTATTATCAATAATTTAACAACATTTGAGAACTCCCATCGAGTTTGTTACTATGGATATGAAAGGTTAAATTTGTAAACAAGAAGTATATTTATATTGGTAATGCATTACCGGTTAATGTTTAGCACAGGGTGCAGTCTGGCATGGAAGCGAAGTGGCGCAGTGCCTCAGGAACAGGAAGGCAGTGCATTAGGAACAGGAATGCAGCAGGGCAGGTAGGAAAGAGCATGGGAGGGGAAGGGGTGAGGAGGGAATAGTAGTCATAGCTAATCTGCTCCCTCTTTCCCAGTGTGCCAGTGGCTGCAGTGGGCTGGGAAAACCCCTTGCCTGCTGCTGCCGCCCAAGACTTCATGTGCGCTGTGTTGTCTGGTGGGGCACTTGGGCTAAAGAAAATATGAAGGTCACCTCCAAAAGTCCTCTCTTTAGCAGAAACATCTGGTCTGCATAGGAAGTGGTGCCTCGTAAAAAACTCTCAACGGCCCTTGCCTGCCAAAACCTGAGACAGAGAAGAGAGAACTTCTTATTCCTAATTCAGTTTGATTGTAGCAACTGGTTTCACATCTCAGGGTAAATCCATTTTTCCCGTTTGTTTAGTTTTAACATGAAGGTGAAGTAATGAGGATCCATAGAAGAACCAAACTGAAAGTGTTGGTCAGAGCTTTTTCACGGTTCCTGTTTCCTTCATATGATCAGTGAAACTGGTAAGAACAAAACAACCCCCCTCACCCCTCCAAAAACCCCCCCAAACCAAACAAAAACAAAAACCACCAAAGCAATGATTAACTTGCAATGACAGGAAGTCTTCATGTCTCACCAAAAAACCCCTGTAAATTTGTAAAATTTCCACCCCATAAATGTAAGTGGAACCCACCTGAAAGAGGATTCAGCTGGTTCCTTCTTCATGACCTGTAGAAGCCTGGTTAACAAACCTCTTTTTCCATCACAGACTAGACTTCTAAAAGATACAGAAATAAGAAGAGTGGAAGAGTTGGCAAGAGTACTACGCTACAAAGTTAACTTCTGGAGATTAAATTAAATTGTCACCAAGCTTTAATAAGCTAGTCCAGTATTACACACAGTTATACATTAGTTACTTTCACACCATCACCAACTCATAGGTGTTGAAAGCTATGAAAGCTGCATTCTATAATAACTACAAAAAAGTAGTTTTTAAGGTAATCCCAGAGAAAGCATTTTTGTTTGAAATGCTAATAAATACAAAGCTCATGAAGTTGTGTGATCAGAAAGTGAAGGTGATACAATACAGAAAATGAGAATGGAATTTATTGTAGTTCTTGCCACATACATGCAGAGGGGAGAGTCTGGTTCAGTGACAAATGCAGCGTATTTGTACGGAAATCTAGACTGCGGAATATGCCTAAACTAAAGAATGATGGATACAGAAAAAGCCCATACGACTAAAGCACCAGTAACATTACCCTGATGCCTATAGGAAATATCTCTATGTACAGGAAGTAAACATAGACAAGCTGATATAAAAATCCTATTATCCAGAAAGACTGTGTGTGGCCACTCTAAATGTGGGGGCAGGAGCAGCAGGGTTGAAACACACTAATCCTAGGCCAGGAACAGAATTCTGCTGGCCTCAGGGCTAGAACATAAGCTGTCCTGCACGTGCAGGACAAAATGGATTCAAGTGGGGATTCCCTTTTCTTTCACTCTAAAACAAGTAGCACACATATCTAACCTGGTACGTGCAGGTTACTACCTATATCCTGGTTAATAGAGTTGCTGATACAGCTTGTGGTCAACTGACCAATCCTTTCTAGAAAGTAGTGTGCTGGCTACAAATAGCTGCCTCCTTACTAATGCTCTGAAGAACCAGGAAGAGTTTGCTCTGGGTTTTAAACATAATGGAAAAAGCTATCTATGCTCTCAGCTCTCTTCTTTCCAGAACACACGTATAACACAGGGTGGCTTTTCCTCCCAAGCCAGTAAAAAGGTTCATTCCTTTCTGAAGAAGACCCAGAAGGGCAGCATTACTTTGGAGAGGATACAATCATTGTAAGAGGTGGTTTCTCATTACTAAAGGTAGATAATTTTAAACATTTAAAAACTGGAAAAAATCCCTCTTGTGCCATTCTTCTTTGAAGACAGATAAGGGCATCTTTCCCCACACAGCAGCTCCGCTCCCTGAGCTTACACGTAAATGTTATAGGTAAGGTTTACTGACCACAATGGTTTTGACTTAAGAGCTCTGTAGGTAAGGTAGATTCCTTTGAGTTGCACATCAACAGAATCATGGGCTTGTCTATGTACTTTCATTAAATCTGATACATGAATCAACTGATGAGGTGTAAATCTATACTGACAACCTTCTCCTGCAGTTCATTAGCCAGAAAGATCCCACCTTATTTCACAGCTGCCATTTGTGATATTGGAAGTTATATTGGCATATCTACTGGTAATGAAATATATAATGTGGAAGTCATGGACACAAAAATGGAACCCCATGATATCATTTTCAGAGTACAAGTGCACTTGGGGTGCTTACGGACACGGGAGGAAAAAAAAACCAAAAAAAACTCCTTTACTTTACAGTGCTTTACTTTCAGTTTGGTGCACCCCTATGCCAAGCACAGCACATGCTCAGAAGAGGAATTGCGTCAGCTTGACCTGGCTCACCCAGTGTCTGTATAGCTCATGTGCTTCAGCAGGGCTTCTTTGGCACTCTTCTCTAATAGCTGATTGAATCAGCTATTAGATAAAAGTGCTAAAAAGTACCACTGAAGTGCATGAGCTATACAGACACTGGGGAGCTCAGTCAAACCGATGTGGTTCCTCTTCCGGTAAAGTTTTGGGGGCGGGTTTTGTCCACATCTATCAGCACCCTTTAAGTTACTAACAATGAGGAATGTCATTCAATACCCATGTTCTTGGTATTGCAATACATTGCTCAAATTAAGGGAATGACATGTTGTGCAAGATTTTAAACGGAACAGACAGCACAAGTTCTTACACCGAAGGTTTTATTAAATGCCAAAAATAGCAGGTTAAAACACCAAGGCCTTCCAGCCTACCTGTCTGTGTTAACAACTGCATCTGCTTCAGGGATGTTTGCTTTGAGAGAGATTGCACTCAGTTCATTAAGTTCTTGACTGTTTAAAAGAAGATACTTGTTCCTAAAAAAAAAAAATTGAGAAAAGAAAATGAGGCTGAATAAATATATCCATTTGTTTCCTTTCTGATCTTTATATACTGCATCACTAATATAAAATAGGCAGGAACCAGCAATCCCAAACCAAAGACTGCTTAACCATGCAATCTGTGAAGGTGGAAAGATGGAGACAGACATTAATTTATACAGCTTGCCCCATACACCAGAGCATGTGATCCTTCACAGGGCTACAAATCTGCCAAATTGTAAATCTCCCCTACGATTTGGTTCCAGATGCTAATATTTCCTCTTAAAGCAGCTGCATGCTGTTGTTCTCAGTAGCAATGATGTCTTTTTCAGTTACATAAACACAAGCAAATAGAGGTAAGGGAATAAAGATACAAGATAACACCAGGCTTCCCTTTGAGCTCTAATGAACCAGAGTTGCCTATGGAAATTTCATGCCTCTGAACAAGTTAATCTCTAAGGGTGCATCCAGACGAGCATGGCTGTGCAGTATGTGGTGAGCAAATGCATCTCCAATGTCACATACTGCAATCAAGTGTTTTCCATGCTGCAAGGGCATACTGCCCGTGTGTGCTGCTCCAGTTCCCCCCCCCCTCCCCCCACAGGTTTTTTTGACCCCTGGGGTAAAAAAAGAAACACAGGGAAAATAACCAAACAAACGGAGCAGCATACATACAGGCAACGCGCGACACTGAAAAGCAGAGTCATGGCCTGAAGCCATGCCACTGCTGCCAGCCAGGCTCCGCCTGGAGCACTGTCGCCACTTTAGCCCCGGGAGGCCCCCAGCATGCCACGTAAGGCTCCTGGGGTCAGCACAGTGCTGGCCCCAACTTCCCCTATTGCCCCTGGGGTAACTTGCCATGCGCCAAAGCACATGTGGCACAGGTGTTCCCCAGGGACAAGTAGCTGCGGTGCAAGGTGTGCTGCTGCTATTTGTCCCTGGGGAGCCAAATGTCTGCACTCGTCTGGACATGGCCTACAGTGCTATTGTGCCTTACTTTCAGCCACCTGGTACTTCTGTTGCTGAATATCAGCTGAAACTGTTCCATGAAACTTCCATTTCCTTGTAAGCCAACATGGTTCTGCATGGTTCAAAATTTCTGGCACTATGCATAAAGGAATGACCTGAATCCTTAGGCAGTAACCGTGGATTTGATTTGTTTATAAATTCTACAGAGTGCTTTCTGCCATCAACAGGAAAGTTCAGTCTCTTATTCTTAACATGCATTAATTAAGAAACAGATTATTTTCTTTTGCTTTTATTTAATTTTAATAATCCATTCTTAACTTTTTTTTCTTTTTACAGGATTCAATAACTTCCACCCAATTTCAGTGTATTCCACGTGCCCATTTTTAATGGTCCAAAGCTGTTCAGTTCTTAGGTTAAAACTATTTGTTTTAACCATGTCCAAGAGCCTTACAACAGCCATTTTAATATAGACAGTATCTAAGAAACATTTTCTTAGTCAGGAAACAACAACTGGCTGATCCAACTGCAGCTGCTGAAGTGGATTTCTTTTGACAAACAAAAGTATTCAGTATTTTGTGAGAAAAAAACTTCAGAATTGCTAAATTCACCGATTTATAAGGGCTGAAAAATTATTATGATCATCTGGTTTGACTTGTACAATGGAAAGGAAATGTGGTATCAGAAAATATACTATGAAGGAACTTGAACAGCTACCAATTTAAGCAAAAGGAATGAAATTCAGGCTGATTAAACAGAATTTGCCCAAGGCTGTTCTGCCAGGACTAAAACTCTTGGCTCATGAACAGTTCTATGAGCAGTTCTATGGGATCCTTGCTTTCCTTTCCAACTAAAAAATCTCCCCTGCAACACAGTCCCTGTTAAAGCACATTCTGAGGGAACTTCTACCTTGACTGAATCATGGTAGTGCTATCCTACTGTTTTTTATTTATCGAGTCACTTTATACCAGTAGTAGTGAAGAACTTAAATACAAGCCAGGCAGTGATGACACTCAGCTTCTCTTGAGCATAAGTCAGTGGCTCAATAATAACTGTATTTAAAAAGGAACAAGTAACACCTTAAGTGCAACTCCCCATTAGCTCCCATTCCATACTCACTCATGATGATCACTAAAACTCTGAAGAAGCCTCAAAAACTGTATCTTTAAAGTAATGTCCTGAAAAAAGAAGATGAAATAGGCAACCAAGTCAAAACTGGAATTGGAAATCTTTCACAACAGAAAAAGCATACCCAACATTTAGGTAGCAATTGATCGACAAACAGGGAACAACAAAAAAAAATCATGAGTCCCCAAAAATGGGTTATAAATGGAAAAGACTAAAGGCCATGAAGGTTCTATTCAAAACAAGGCTTTTTCCCCCATTCACTACGTGGAGGACACCCCAAGTTGCACAGCCCTGGCGGAGTACAGGGGAGCTGCTACAGCTCTAGGACTGGGACTAGAGGTGTCACTGCTGCTGCCTGGAGAAGGCCAAAGCCACAGATGCACAGGGTAAACAGTGATATATTGTATCAAACATCCAGTTTTATTATGGTCTAATGTAGCTTTAAAATGCAGGCTGTACCACAAGTGTAATACCTGAAATTACCTTCCAAAATGTGAAGTTAGGATACTCACTGGGCTACAATCACAATTTTGATTATGTCCATGAAGAACAAGAGCTGATGCAGAATGCTTCCTCCAGATCAGTTTGTCAAACAGGTTATTAAGACCAGGAATCAATTTGAATTCTGCAATCATTTTGTGAACCTGGAAAAAGAACATCTTAAACTTATATAATCTCTGGTGTCTCCAAACATGGAAACAATACAGTTCAAAAGACAGATGAGCACAACTACATTTCTAATAAAGTTACTGAAAGGATTTACTGAACAATTTGGATTTATTTAAGTGTTTACACAAAAAGTGGTGTATCCTCAGAAGAAAGAGTACTATCCTGGTAGCACTGAAGAGAAACTGTGAGTTCAGTTTCTACAGAGAGCCTTTAACAGTGTTTGAACTTATCAGGTACCCCTTCAGGAAGAAGAGATTTGGTATACTCAAAACAAAAGTAGCATTCAATTATATACAGTTTGAAATACATACCAGTAGCATATTAGGGCCAGGTCCTAGTATGCATCTGGTCTTGATGCTAGTCGTATCAATGATACTAGGCAGCTCCTTACAGACAGCAATGGAAAATGCCAAAAGACTTCCCTTTTGTGACTTTGCTAGTGGATACTTTGTGCTGTGAATGACGTTGAGTCATAAGGCAACAACAGAAAATTTTACTGAAAGGTACAAACATCACATGCTTAGAAGCAGATGATCATCACGTCCTCTGGGGAGCTTTAAATAGAGCAACTGCAAGAGCCTCTCTAAGTGCCACAGTGTCATATTAGTGTCTCCGCGCTTCAAAATGGTGGTGGGGGCACTTGAACTAAAGCTTGTCCAAGCTTTAATTCAAGTGCCCCCACCACCATTTTGAAGTGCAGGGATGCTAGTACATGAGATGTGCGGGCTGGCTGGAGCACAGTAATTACTATGCTCCAGCAGACTTAATTAGTCAAGTCTGCCCCCCAGCACATCTATAGGAACCCCATGTTTTCCTAGAGTGACCTTTTAAAAAAAGAAAATTCAGAGCAACATCTCAGGGCATGGAGACAAATATACTTACTGGTTTGTAGACTAGTGTAAATTACACTGGAGTCAGGAAGGGTGAGAGACATGCAGCTACTGCAGAATAACTGATGCAGTAAGAGGACATCACTGTACCATACAACTGGGTGACAAAAGAGTAGGCGATAACTTACTTGCCTGTATCAGCTGCTGCTAAGGGATGAAGTGGGTATTTTTCCCACTAATACATACAGGGTTAGCTCAGTTTAGGGGCTTACATCTTTTTTTTTTTAAGCAGACAGTTTAATTCTAATGTCATCAGTATAAACATCACAATTTCAGCTGAATGCTTCCTTTTTTTGGATAAAAAGCTTCAACAAGATTTATTAAAACAGACTCCTGTAGTTCAGACATTTTTCTATCAAGAGAGACATGGATGGGATGAAAACTGAAGGCAAAAAATGCTAAGAAAGCTGCATCCCTGCAAGGGAAGGACCCAGAAATAAAAAGCTTTTGACTGTATATAATAGAGGACAGGGAGGGACTTAAAGCAAAGCATGGATTTAAGGTGGTTTAAGTCCTGGTGCTATTTATATCTATTCTTATCTCTATGTTAGATGAATATCCTGTCTAGACATCCTTGGATTACTAATTCCCTGTCCTAGGGAATATACTTAGTTTGAAAATGCCTTGCACACTCTGGATGCTACTACAGAGAATTATTCTATTTGTATGTATAGTTCTTTCTTTATAGGTTTATGCAGTACAGGTTATTAGTGTTCATAGGACTATATGCCTGTAGACCCTTCTCTAAAAACATGTTTACAAACCTCATCCTAAAAGATCACAAAGCCAAGGAACTTTAGGCTGTGAAGTATTGAGGACCTTTTACCAGATGATTCCATGAAACTGCATCAAACAATAGCAAGAAACATGGAATGCACAATGAGGAGTGGTGGTAGCCTAGCTATGGGGATACTTGGATTTAAAGAAATATGAGCTGTCTTGTGCACACCTGAATGTGCAGACAGATGCTTACCTGATTCCTCTGCCTCCCCATCAGCAATACACAGAGAACATACAACACCTCCAGCTTGTACATTATCTCATGCATGATCTTCATGGATTGTGGCAGCTGGGTTCTCGTTGATGTGTTGGCCAAACCACTTTCATCTGAAGATTCTAAATGAGATGGCAAAGACAAGCTCAACAAGTATAAATGTTTTAGTTACTACTTTCTACAGCACAGCAATTCCAGGTTAAATGGAAGACATTTCAATTCAAGGTATGCATCACTGGGGACTTAGATTAGCACAGTGATGAGCTCTATCATAAACATTCTTTTCCCTGAAAAAACAAAACAAAAAAAGGGTGTGTGTGTGTGTGTGTGTGTACGTACACACACACACACACACACACACACACACACACGTCCCTAGGTGGGGGCAAATCGGGGCAGCTGCCCCAGGCTCTGCACTTTGGAGGGCCCCATGGAGCTGGGTGGAACAACACAGCAATTCTGTGTTGCTGCCAGCTTCACATCCGGCTTCTCGCCACCTGCCCACCCAGCCACGAAATCCACTGCCGGTTTCCTTGTGTCTGGGGGTGGGGCCCTGCACAGACTGATTTGCCCCAGGCCCCATACCTTGCTCAGGTCATCTCTGCACACACACACACGGGACAAGAATGCACATAATGCAATATATACATATTGTTAAATAGTTCACTTTGGCAAAAAGCCAATGGAATTTCATAGATGAGGCAAATAGGATTAGGTATGTGAAAGGACACTGTGTCAAATCCCAACAATTGTTTTACCCATGCTCACATGGCAGTAAAATAAGTATCAAACCTAAACATATCACGTTCAATTTATTTTTGAGGCGTGGTAAAAGTAAAATGAAAAGGAAAGGGGAGAGAATGCAACAAGCCAGTTAAATTCAAATCAGGTACCTGTACTGCTCTGCTCTGCCTCCTCACTGGCTACTCGCATTAACGCATCAAGTACAAGTGCATTGTCTAGCCAGGTGTACCATTCCTCTAACTCCTGAAGAAAACTGGAAGTACCCGTTGTTTCCGATACTTTCCTTGTTGCCAATTTGCATAGTCGCTCAATGAAGCCTGGAATATTCAGAAGTGTAGCTACAAAACAGAAAACAACACAGAACTGTTTAAGCAAGCCAAGAGGACATTCAAAAAACACTTCTGTCAGAGAACTAATTCACTTTGAAGAAACAAAAAACCTTGATATCAAATATGGAGCAATACACAGAACTAAACTGAATATAAAATGAACAAGGTTCACAGGTATAGCAGCACAGTAGGGGGCACTACTATGCAGAGCCTCACTATGCCAGGCCCAAAACCAAACTTTGGGAGTTTCCCTTGGGGAGTGGGGAGCCTACAGATGGCTGTCCCACTTCCTGGAGAACATCCACAAGCCTGGGGTAATGCTGCCACCACCTGGGCACTGGTCTCTGGTTGGGATCTGTGCAGCCCACGGCTCACAGACCCTGCAAACCTTGGAGGTGCTTTGCCCACAGTAATATTTCTGGGTGCTTCTTTTAGCCTGAAGCATCCAAAGATAGCATCAGGTAGCTGAGGGAAAATGAAAAGACAAACTTCACTGGCCAAGTTGGGAGCGAAAGGCTTCCCCTCTCTCTACCCACAGTAGCTCAACAAGGCATGCTGTAACCCAGTACCTTTATTAATTGGTGACCTAGGGAGGGGGTAGAACGAGAAAGTGAGAATACACTTTGAGCAAACATAAGCACGTGAGTCTTATACAGTCTTGGACTCAGTGATCCTTTTAAGATGTGACTGGCCTACACATAATTCCTAACTCTTGGCTAGTTTCCATGTTATATTTTTTTTTTTTTTTTTTACTTATAGTGAATCTTCAGGCAGGAGCCTGGAGTATTTGCTTGCTGCATTCAAAATGCCTGCTGGAGGAAGAGGGTGCTCCCCAACCTAGGAATTTATCTGGCCAGGTCACCTGATTGACCAGCCTGTACCAAGAAGAAAACCAGTAGATAAAGGGGCCACCTGGTTTGGCCCCAGGGAGGGGCAAAGAGACAGGGATTTCTTCACAGCAGGCAGTATTCTTAATAGGCGCTGTATACCAAGAGGTGAAAATAACATTGTGCCAAGGTATGGTGGCAAGAGAGGTTAGATAAGGACACTGCCATCAGTCAGTATAAGTTTCTTTGTATCAAGTACGAACAGCACGTAAGCTTTATGCTGAAGGCAGTTTTCACAAAAACATATCGTACTGGGACTTCATTGATAGACACAAAGCTATTTGTTATAATCTCATGACTAGATCTTCATCCTTCAGCACACATGAAAGTCAAGGTTTCTAATCCCAGAAGAACTGTTTTAAAAGACTGAGATAGTAAACAATTAATAACAGGGCGAGTGAACAGGCACAGCAGACCTGGAAATTTGCAAGCGGTTTGCTGTGAGCAAGAGGAGGAAGAGGAGCCAGGCACAACATCCTGCTCCTGGAAGGTAAGTGAGCCAGGGCTGTCTGTCTTGGTGAGTGTTTGTCTGGTGGGCTGTGTGTTTGGGCATGTTTACAAGCCATTCGCAAGTCAATTCATAGGTCAGTTTACCACCTCACTTTTTGAAGGGGAGCCTTTTAAGGTAAGTTTTTTCTTTAATTAAGAGCAACTAATCTACCCAACCAGTGTATAGCTAAAATTTAGCAGTTAGATCAATACTTAAGTCCTTTATTAAATTACAGACTACAGCCAGTGGGGAGTTAGCTAGGGAGTTTGCCCAGAAACTTTCACCTTCTTTTACTGTAAGCTTGGTGAAAGGAAGCAGGTTAGCAAGGAAAATGGAACCTTTTAGGACCAAAGAGCAGGCCAGCTTACAGGAGAGCTTGCTAGGGAAGTTCTGCTTCGAAAGAGGGACAGGAAGAGACCCAGAGAGATGGTTTGAGGATGTTGCAATGCCATAGCCACTGTCATTGCCATATCTTTTTCTGCTTCCACCTGTAAGATGTCTCCAGACAGGACCACAAACCACTGAGGCTTCCACCCAAGTGCTTGTTTGGCACTGCTGGGATTGTGGTTTGCAAGTTCCTTCCAGTAACAGCTAGATTTGGGAGTGCTTACAATATGAGCAGTGCCTCCTGGAGACTTCAGAAAGCAGGTAGGAAGAGGTGCTGAGGCTCCAAAGCATACGCAGCCATGAGGAGGTTCATTTATTCAATGCTAGAGAAGACCTCTAGGACTGTGCAAGAAGGACTGCCACAGGTGCCACTAGAGAAGGAAGAGAATAGACACCCAGGAAGGTGGAAGCTTGAAGCTTGTGACCGCTGGCGGGGAAGGTGGGGGGGCGGGAAAGAGGTTCAGCAGAAGCTGACTTGTACTTTAAATAAACCTTACTGAGGGAGCAGGAATGAACCAACCCAATACTCAGGAAAGCTACCAAATATGACAGAAGACCAGCTTGGATTAGCAGGGAATTCTTAAGTGAGATAAAACTCAAAAAAGGAAGCTTGCAAGAAGCAGAAACTTGGACAAACTACTACGGAGGACTATAAAAGTATTGCTTGAGTATGCAGGGATGAAATCAGGAAAGCTAAAATGTAATTAGAACTGCAGCTAGCAAGGGACTTACAAAGGTGACAGATGATACAGAAAAGGCTGAAGTATTCAGTGCCTTTTTTTACCTCAGTCTTCAGAAGCAAAGTGAGTCACCAGACTTGTGCACCTGGCAGCACAGTTTGGGGAGGAGGTGTAGAGTCAATAGAGGTGAAAAAATAAATTACAGACTACTTAGAAAAGCCAGATGTGTAGAAGTCCACAGGGTCAGACAGGATGCACCCAAGGATGTTGAGGGAGTTGGCTGATGTGATTGCAGAGCTGACCATTATCTTTGACAGCTTGTGGTGACTGGGAGAGGTCCTGGATGACTGGAAAAGAGTAATATAGTGCCCATCTTTAAAAAAGGGAAAAAGGAAGAGGGCAAGGAAAAGGGCAAGTTATACCTGACCAACCTGATTGCCTTCTATGACAAGATGACTGGCTCTGTGGATGCAGGGACAGCAGTGGATGTGATGTACCATGGCCTTCGCACAGTTTTTGATACAGTCTCCCACAACATTCTGGCAAGCAAGCTAAGGTATGGTTTGGATGAATAGACTGTAATCTATTACAGTAGTAATCAATGGCTCAATGTCTAGGTGGTAGCCAGTCAGTATCAAGTGGAATGCCCCAGCGGTTGATCCTGGGGTCAGTTTTGTACAATACCTTTATCAATGATCTGGAAGATGGGATCAAGTGCACCCTCAGCAAATCTGCAGAATACTCCAAGCTGGGGAGAGTAGTAGATATGCTGGAAGACAGGGCTAGGATTCAGCGATCTAGACAAATTGGAGGATTGGGACAAAAGAAATCTCAAGAGGTTCAATAAGGACAAGTGCAAAGTCCTGAACTTGGGACACAGCAAATCCCATGTAACGGTACAGTCTGGGGATTGACTAGTAAAACAGGTACTTTGCAGAAAAGGACCTGGGGGTTACAGTCGACAATAAGCTTATGAGTCAAGAGTGTGCCCTCGTTTTCCAGAAGGCTAAAGACATACTGGGCTGCATTTGTATAAGCACTGCCAGCAGATGGAAGAAAGTGATTATTCCCCTCTATTCAGCACTGGTGAGGTCACATCTGGAGTACTGTGCCCAGTTTTAGCTCCCCCCCAAGAAAGGATGTGGACAATTGGAGAAAGTCCAGCAGAGGACAATGAAAGTGGTTAATGGGCTGGGGAACATGACTTCTTAGGAGAGGCTGTGGGAAATGGTCTTAATTTAGTCTGGAGAAAAGAAGACTGAGAGGAATTGATAGCAGCCTTCAGCTTGAAGGGTGGTTCCAAAGAGGATGGAGCTAGACTGTTCTCAGTGGCATATAATCAAACAAGAAGCAATGGTCTTAAGTTGCAGCAAGAGAAGTTTAGGTTAGATACAAGGAAAAGAACTCTCTCACGAGGAGGGTTAGTAAAGCACTGGAATAGAGAGGTTGTGGAATCTCCATCCTAGGAGGTTTTCAAAACCCAGCTAGACAAAGCCTTGACTAGGATGATGTAGTTGAGGATGGTCCTGATTTGAGCAATGAATTGGACTAGATGTCTTCCTGAAGTCCTTTCCAACCCTAATTTTCTATTATTCTCTGAACAGTACCATTTCAGAATGCAGATGCTGAACTTTAAGAATAAGCTGTATTCAAGTAAGTATTTCGAAAGAGTAGTTGATGTACATGCTGATCCTGGAAAGCATGCCAATGTTCAAATCAGCAAGCATGTACTTACTCACCTACTTGGCTACTCACACGTTTCAAATCAAGCACTGCAGGATGAGAGCCACATTCAGTTTGCCTCCTTGGATATCAAAGGGCTTTTAATACTGCAAAACCTGAGGTCAGTTCATCTTACCTTCAATTATATTTTAATTGAATACATTGTTTTATGAAGTTGCTCAGTATGTTAGCAGAAGTGATAGTGGATTCACCATTGTTTGGCATCTTTAAGGTAAGATTAGATAAATTTATTAAAAACAGAAATTTTTTTTTTAAACTAACCTTCTATAGATTGTACAAGCGGAGGGTAGAGAGAATGGTTAGTCTAGATGGTCATTGAAGTTTGTTTTGGCTTTGGAGTCTATTTCTATGTAAACTCCATTAGAAATGGAGAGAAAAGGAAGTTTTGCATTGCCTTCAACACGCTTGTGTTATCTATGGCACAACTTTTTGGCTCACTGGAATTAAGGAAGATTCCTCCCTCTTTGCAGGGGTATCTCTTCGGTTCTCTGAATGTGGCACACAATAATTTAGTTTCCTGAAGGTTGAAATATTTTGGCTTAACCAAGGTTATCTGACTCAATAGAAATAGTGAAATTTAACAGATTAAAAATCCTGAAGGTCAGACAAGGCAGTCTAGTGGCTCCTTTTGGAATTTAGTTCCAAGGCACTTACACCATTCTATATCTCCTATGTAGAAAATAAGTGAACAGTCTATAGCTATGTACTGAGACATCCTGAGTCACTGCTTTTAGAACACCTGCTTAGTCAATTTCAAGAGAGCATGAGCCTATGAAGATTACATCCAGCACACTAAAATTATTCTGTCTGTAACAGGGGCTCAGGCGTGAGCCCTGTTACTGTATGGGTTTCAGGCAAGGATGACCCAAGATTGCACCCTGCCAGGTGAAGGGAGTTTCACATCAAGGGAGGGGTGGGATGATTAGCTTGCCACAGCTGGCATAAATCCTGCCATGGGGCAAACACCTTTTGCCTTTGGGCACTGGAGGATGAAGGAGAGACCATTAGGGCCGTGGATGAAAGAAGAAGAGAAACCTTACCTGCGACCCCAAGGAAAGCCGGGATCTTGGGACTCTGGATGATAACAGGTCACCATGAGTCTAAATACTCCCCTGAGAACCCCAACCAGTCGGGTGAGTGCGGGGAAAGACTGCAGGGTACCAGGACACAGCTCTTCTGGGAACCCCAAGAGCTAAAGAGAGAGGCTTTGGAACGGGGCTCAGATGGCAAGAGCTAGACAGAGCAACCAACTTGTAAAGACTGCTAAGATGTCAGACCGGCGATTCAAACAAGCAAGGGAGCAGCAAAGGTAGCTCTCAGCATGAGCTGCAAGAGATGTGGAGAGTGTATTCTGCTTGTAAGACTTTTTAAACCCCAGAGACGCTGGTAATTACAAAGTATCCGTCAGGTATCCGAGCCTAGAGTCCTTATCTGCAGCTCAAAATGCCCTTGCTGAGGTAATTAGTGAGGACATTGTCACAATACAGATTCCTCCTGTGTAAATAAAGGCTACTGTGTGAGAGTTTATGATCCACGTGGCTGTAGTGCTTCCTTGCTCAGACACCATCACTGAATCCCTCTTTTTCCTTTTCATTTAAGTTGTGGCAGGCGAGTTTAAAGGGAGACTGAGCTGGGAGTGACCCCCACTCTCACATTGTCAACAAATAATAAGATAGTTTTCTTGAGAACCAAACCATGGAACACAGAACAGAAAGAGACTTATCAAATGCAGGCCAGCTACAACATCACCTAAAAAAAAAATTCTACACACAAGTCCATACTTTCATAATTAGAGGCAGCAAGCCAGAAGCTGTGACCCTTTACCTTGATTAATTTCAGCTCGAGAAGGACCCAAATGTTTTTTCTGCTGGGCATTTTTGGCAAGAAGTGTGTGCTTGTCATCACTCCCCGTATCAAGCTCAGAAATGGTGACAGCGAGGATTCTGCAGAAGTTTGCAAGTTGCTGTTGATCAAAACTGGATACTAGACTTGCAAGATTGGGTATATCATCTAACTGTATCATTTCCTAGATGAGACAAATGGTTGGTTGATGATCTGATATAATACACCCCAAATTTCTTTTTAAATAGGAGCATTCACAAAGGAACATAAAAAAGAAAAAGCCAAGGGAAGTGGGTTGAGATGGGTTGTATTTTTCTGACAGGAACTTTTTTTCAGTTTAATTTTATGGATGATAGATCCGTATCTTATGGTTGATAGATCTAGTAATCGCTGTTGAATGGAACAGTTACAGACGTTTATTTTGGCATATCTAAACTAGTAATGGTAGATGCCAGGGAGGGTACTGAATAGGTGAAAAATCACTTCAGTTATACCGCTATTCCTTGTTTAACATCATAGTTACGTTCTTGAAAAATGTTACTTTAAGCAAAACAATGTTAAGCAAATCCAATTACATCACAGTAATTACCTACTAGCAGGCAGCAGCCAAACAATGTTATAACTGAATGCTGCACAACTTTAAATGAGTATGTTTTCTAATAGATCAGCAACATAATAATAAAACCATGTTAACTGGGATGACGTTAAGTAAGGAGTACCTGTATCTGGTTCAATGCGCTCCCTCTATAGCATCCACCCCTGGCACTATCAGAGACAGAATCTTGGGCTATGGACCACTGATCTGACCCAGTGTGGTACTTCTTGTGTTCTTATATTAATGGGATAGAAGGGGTATATGGACAGCAGCAGGTGAAGAGTCCAAAATACAGCTGTGAATTCAATCTGTAATTATGATTCCTTGTGTTTACCAACTTCACAGATGCAAAATTTACACTATATTTTTCAGTGAACTTTTAAGCAAAGACTAAGCTAAACTCTTCTGAAGTTTCATTAATGTGTTCTGTACCTCCAAGTTCATGAAGTTAGATAGATGGGAACTGTCTGATACAAGTTTGGGCACGGGGGACTGAAGCTTACTTTCATTGTTCACACTATTATTTGTCTGTTTTTTTAAAAAATAGCAAAACTGCATTATTTGAAGTAGTATTTTTACTCACAAGTATAAAAGTTTGTGTCAAAATATTTTAAATTTATTGTTTACCTATAAGACAGCATTGTTCTAATATTCAACACTTCACAAAATTGCAAATAGTAAGTGAGATCAACCTAAGAGCCACCATGGGACATGCTTTTTGCCAACTTCTAGCAAATAAGCTGTTGTCAGGATAACATGAAAACAGTTTAGTCTGGTATGTTCTTCAGTTTGTAATAAGGCTAAACAAAGCCCCCAGTTCAACAAATAAAACTGCATCAAGTTTCAACAGTTTTCCCTGAGCCAGTTCCAAGATGCAGGTAGATGTGACCTGAAATGTAAACATGGCAGAATCTTGGATAGATTACATGGTCTCAGGCAGTACTTTATCTTTAAAACATGACATGGTAATAAATGGCAAATTTGTTTCATACTAGGTTTATGAATAGGCACTAATGGCAGGAAACCTTTATTTTTTTCTAGTGTGCAACTTCCAAATGATTCCAGAAGAGCAAAACAGTGCAAGTGGAAGGTGAGAGAAGCAGTATCTGGTCAGGAGATCTACTAAAAATCTCACAAGGGGAAACCAGAAATAAGTTTCTTGTATGAATGAACTGCAGGTGACTTGTTCTTAGTTTGTGAAATAGACTGTTTATCTTATGTAGCTACTAACACTCCTCATGAAAAGCTGCTACCTCACCTACATGAAAGTTGCAGTTCATGCAAAAAAGGTGTGGTTCATTGATTCATTAAAACAATTGTGATTAACACTAATCAGCATCTTTGAAGCCCTAACAGTTTGATTACAAAGGAATTCCTAAATTTCTTAAATAGGCACACAATTGGGGTTAGGGGAAAAAAAAATCATTATCAGACCTTTTTAACTCCCAGGATGTCTTCGATAAGGGTTGCTGTTTGCAGGAATGTCTTTTTGTTTGTCATCAGTGTAAACAGGAACAACACAAAATCATTTCTTTCTGCCAATCGTTTAGTGACTCCTTCCGTCTGGAATGGTAAGGAATAGTTAACATGCCCATAAATGACAGAACCTAGCAGTACCAAATCAGATGTCACAAATTTCTCACTTACTCCTGCAGCTAGATGAAGTATAGTTTAGTGACTGACACTAACAACTAGATCTCACCTCAGACTAACATGAGGTCTTCAGAAACTTCAATGCCCTAGTATGAAAGCCGCCTTTCCTAATTCAAACTGCTTCACTGCTTGAATCAAAATTAAATGCCTGGATCCTACATTGGCTCTATGCCTTACCTCCGTACTGGAGTAACTTCTATCAGCTATGTTATAAAAGCTGAACTCAGACTTTTGCCACAAATACTAAAGCTCTCAGCTAAGTAGATTTTGAACAACAGGGTAAAAGTCTGGCCCTAATGAAATCATTGACAGTACTTCCATAGCTTTCAGAAGGGTCAGGATTTCATTTCAGTATCTGAGGCCAGGAGGTTTGTTTGATTCATTATAATTTATTCCAAAGGGTTCTGTTAAGAATGCTGGAAAAAATGTGATCTACTCTTGTTGCATATGTGCCACTGCTACTGTGATGCTGAATTGATGAACTTTCTGACTATTTGTAACTTGGCTATAAAAATAGTATACATGGAATCCTGAAGTAATCTTCCACATAATCCAGACAGCACAATCACTGAAATCAGCCAGCAGTTATTTTATGGGTTGGAAACACTATATTTTAGTGAGTTAGGCTAGTCACAGTTTTATTTGACCTAAGAGAAAAAAATAAAAATAAAAATAAAAATGTGAATATATATATATATATATTCAATGCTGCCCTCTCCAGTAGTATTCTGAGAACATCACCTGTTAATATTTTTTAAGAGAAAGCCAGTTTCTCTGAAATTGCTCCCACTCAATGACCACCCAGACCATATAATCATTACTGTATTATAAAGTTTCCCAGGATTACAATAATCTATGTAGTGGACTCAAATGACTAAGTATGAAATACTGAATACCTGTTACCTGTAACAAATGTTTAAAAACACATTATACATGCAATTTAGGCTTCTTAACTTGCCTTTAAAATTATCTCTATGTGTCTCTAACCTGTAGCCCTTCCTCAGGGCTGAACTTTCGCTGACTGACAAAAGGATGTTCTGCACATAAAATATTTATAGGATCAGACCTAAAACATTTTTAGCCAACACTGAACAGGGCACAAACCATTCAGGTTAAAATGTGGACACACACTTCTTTCTAATTTTGAAATTTCAATTTCCAAGTACAAGAGCTGAAAATAACTCTCTCATGGGAACATTATCATGTACACAAACACCCACAGTGCACGGTAGAATTATTAGATACACAGATGCTGCAGAATTACTGAAATGCCTATAAAAAAGACTACTAAGTACACCCCTGAAACATGGAAGATGCCGAATTTCAGCTGATTTTGGATTTTAAACTTCATTGGAGAACAACAAGGAAGTTTTTTTGCTTCCCTGCCTGCCATCTGACACCTCCAGGGAAGGAATTCTACCTGATCAACACATCAAAGAGCTAGTCAACAGCTCACAAAGACACTCATGGACCCAGAGGGACAGACTTCCATCTTCAGCTCCCTCTGTGCAAAAATGAAGTTTATTTCCTATCTATGGGGACTTTTTACCATCTTGTACCATCTACACTTTTCCCAGAGCCTGACGAAGGGACTTTGATCCCGAAAGCTTGCAGAAAAGGACAATTTTCTTGCCATTTTCCAGTTGGTCTAATAAAAGGTATCATTTTGGAACCAAGAGTTCTCATTTTTTGTATGTCTTTTTGTCTCAGACCAACACGGCTACCAAGTACACCCCTATAAATAAGACATAACTTCAGTAAACATGAGTGAAGGAGGGAGGGAATATTGCAAGTCTTATAGGTAACCAGACTTTGGCAAGTGTTGCAAAAGAACTCTAAAACCATTCCAGTTTTTTTCTCTTTAAACTTGGGCTTTAAAGCATGCATTTTGATTTCCTTACCAAGTTACATTCAGACAACACTGACGTATGTAATGGGTTTGCCATGAAAAGATTGTACTTACGCATATGCAAGTGTTGTACAATATGCTCAAACAGTCCTTGATCAGGTCATCACTTACTACAAAGCAGAAGAAAGATGCCAATTAAATATACAGTCTCCTGGACTGTTACTTTATAAACTACAGCCACAGAGCACTTTGTATCACATTTTATAAAGTCAGTAAGACCATCTGAAATCAAGATATAAAATAAGCAAGGTGTTTTGCAGGTAAGTTACTAATGGAGCATAGCAGTCTAGTCCAAGAAGTTTACAGGTTAGAGGAAGTGTTTTAAGGCACATTAGTACTGCTCCATTTCTAAATGTCTGTTGAAACAACAGCCTTCTAACCCCTGTAGTTCACTTACCCTTTCCCCCAAGAATGTAGTTTCCACCAAGTTTTTTGTTCAAAAGTAAAGGTGGAATCTGTCAAAAGCTCCTTCTACAGATCTTGTTCAGATTAAATTGTGCCATGATGTGATGTGATCTCCCCGCTTCTCACTGTGCCAGACCTGAACTACAGGATAATGGGGAAAGCAGGGTCTTCCCCTGCCCAGTCAGCTCCACAGGGATGTCTATTTGCTGCGCCCCACCTCCCTCCACGGGGCTGCAAACGCCTAGGAACCAAGCCAAGTGGAGTGAGGTGGGGCACAGCTTGGTTCCCAGGTGCTTGCAGCCTGGTGCAGGGAGGAGGGGCGCAGCCCCGGGGCTGCGCTGCGCCTCCCTACACCCAGCTTAGCGCCCAGTGGCTCACAGCCCTGTGGAACTCAGCCCAGTGGTGGGAGGCAGAATGCAGCCCTGTCTTTACCTGCCTCCCACCACCAGGCTGAGCTTCACGGGGCTGGTGGAGCCCATCAGAGCACAGCCCAGTGATGGGAGGCAGGCAGAGCTGGCGCTGAGCTGCGCTCCAACTGGCTCCGCCAACCCCAGGGAGCGCAACCCAGCGGCTGGAGGTGGGGAGAGCCAGGGCTGCGCTCCCCACCAGGCTGAGCCACATGCGGCTGCACGAAGCCACTGGGAGCACACCCCTGGCTCTCCCCTGCCTTCCACAACCTAGCTACTGCTTCAAAACTCAAAACAAAACCCTTCTGTTTCGTTCCGATTTTGCTGTTTTGAGCTTGAAACAAGTCGAAGCAACGTCGAAATGAAACAGCCAAGGAAATTTTGCAAAATTTTTCAAAGGAGCAGCAGCAGAGCCTAGTGTGGAGCAGGCTGCAGGAGACTGCCCAGTGGCCGTGGGAGGGGAGGGTGCTTTCCCCCCACGCTCAGCTGCATTTTGTTTGTCACCACTGCTGCCAGCCTGGGCCCTATGGCAGCTCCAGTCTCGCCTGACAGGCTGAGCAGTAGCAACGGCAGGGCACGAATTGCTGCTGGGGTGGGGGAAAAGCAGCCGCTCCCCCTCCTGCCACTGGCACTCCCTGCAGCAGCCGCTTGGAGCCCATGTGGGGCTGCCTGTGCCCACTCTCTGTTGCTACCACTGCCCCACGGGCAGCAGGGACATGGCGGAGAGATAGGACAGCCCTGCGCGGGCTCTGGGCAGCTGCCTGAGGGAGCACCGGTGGTGGGAGGGGAAGGGGATGCTTTCCCTCCTCCGTGCTGAGCAGCAGCTTGCTACCCCCCCACCTCTACTCAGCCCAGGTGGGCGAGAGCAGGGTGCGCAGGGTCAGGGCTGCTTGTGGTCATCCTCGCCTGTGCCATGGGGCTGGGAGCGAGCGGGCACGTGGCAGCCAGGCAGGAGCAAGGGACATGCACTGGTGCATTGGGGCCAGCACCGGCAGGGTCCAGAGCAGGCAGTAGGAGAGCAGGGTCCCAGCTGAGTCGGGCTCTATGGAGCTGGGCCAATTCCCCTCTCTCCCTGCTGGCTCCATAGCCCCCTGCCAGCCCATGCCCCATGCTCCTGCTGTCCTGCTCTGGGCCCTGCCAGGGCTGGCCCTGAGACACCAGTGTGGGCCCCATGCTCCTGCATGCCTGCTCACTTCCACTCCCCCCACCCCCGCTTTCACCCCCCCTTCTTACTTGAATTTCTTGCTTGGGGCAGGGACGTGCAAACAGCTCCACGGTCCCAGGCCAGAAGCCTCTGCCAGCCGGGGGCTTCTGGCTGGGGCTGGGTGGGCCCTGCTATTGCAGGAGCCTGCCAGGGCTTCCCTTGGGTCCTACTGCCCCTGGCTGCTGTCATCTTTGACAGAGAGCTGGGGCAGATAAATATTAATTTTCTAATATTTTGCTGTACTTTGCCCACCCCTGCTGTAAATTCTTTGGAGAAGGAGACCAAGAAACTGTAAAATCAGGCATACAAGACATTATAAATTATGCACTTACTTTTCTGTTTCTTTTTTTGTGTAATCAGAGTTGGCCTCATAAGAATGTCCACGAGAAGCTGTGAAGATAAGGTAATTAATTGACAGTGGGGTCATCTTAATAGAAATAATCAATACTGCAAATTGTCTTATTGACTTTCAATACCAAACACTAATATCAATCCAAAATGTATTGAAATCCTTCTAGAAGTTGTGACAAATAGTGAGAGTGAACCAGTAGAACCAAAGTCACTTCCAATGGTCTGAAATAAATGTTTAGTTCTTGTTCTGTTTTTGAAAGAAGTCAGGCAACACCCACACAAGCATTAACACACTGCACTTTCCAAAAGCAAAACAGTGGAGACAGCACAGAGTACATCCAACTTGTCAAACAGCATTTTGAAACAAGTACTGTTTTCCATCCCAAGTAAAATATAGTAAAAAAAGCTATATAGTAGATCGCAAGAACACCAAGATTATAATGACAACCCATACTTCAAGTTTCAGCATGATTTCAGACTGCCACAGTTATTTCCCTTATGAACAGAGGTAAACAACTTCCAAAATGTTATATATAAAACAAACAAAACTTAAGCTATCACTAAATAGAAAGTAATGACTACTAAGCTACCTTCTGTTGCTGCTTGCCATCCCCCGTGTTCCTAAAGAAGTGATTCTCAACCAGGGTGACAAAGCACTGTGAGGTACCCAAAGTGTCAGAAAATGAGCACAGATCAAGGCTGCTCCCTACTGGCCGCTGCCCCAACCCCACTACCTGGCCCCTGTGCAAGAAGGTAAGCAATGTAATAAATTCATTTTTGAAATCAGAGCGCTGCTCAAGTCACATAAGTTAAGGAGGGTGCCTCAGGTCAAAGGAGGGATGCTCTGAGCCCAAAATGGTTGAGAACCACTGCCCTACCGTCCTTGCTGCTAGCAGCCATACACCAGAATTTTAAGAAAATATTCTGGAACAGCTAAGCTTTGAAAGCAAATTGCAACAAAAAGAAGGCTGCTGGGCTGGGTAAGGCACAGATGGAAAATAAGATTATTTTCAGTTTAATACCTGGAAAGAGAAAGCAAGAGGTTCTATAGATAGACAAGATCCAAAGAAGCAGAACCTCAGTTGGCTCTGAAGAATATTTATGCCCTGACTAAACCAAATGTAGGTGTTTAGTTGTTTGGAACTAAAAATGAAACTAGCATATCAGGAAATCTCTGGTGTCAAGCTTGGCCCAATAAGTAGACTGCATTTGCCCATCATAAAGGCATGATATTAGTTTTATATTAAGTGACCTCTCACTTCTAAATTTAAAACCTGCTAATCTACAAAGAGTAGGCTAACAGATAACTGCCTACACCTAAATAAGGTAAAGACAGCTTTTGTATTTTCTAAATAATACCAAAACTAAAGTGTCTGACTAGCAGGTGTCTGTCTCAGATGCTGAAATGCAAACAAAAATTCCTAATAAGTCTATTAGATCTACAACAAATTCCAGGTTTAGCTACAGTAACTCTTGGCTGCTCTGAATTTTTAATCTGATTTAAATGAGGAAAAAATGAACAAACGCAGAGCAAGCCACTACAACCATACAGTACTGAAATTTTGATTCAGCTTTAAGAAAGATGAGAGCATTCTGCCTCCTGAGCCCAAGACTGCTGCTCTGATTGATTCACAGCTGATCATCTGTTTTAGCTAAGACCCATTTATTATATTAGCTCAGGATGGCCTTCCTGGCTATTTACAGGTGAGAACCAGCTGCTAGAATGAGTCATTAAGTTCTGTTAAAAGGATATTCATTACAGTTGAGTTAAAAGTTTCAGTCTTGGTTTTAAAAGACAAGTTTAAAACAAGCATTGACCTTGAAATTTAGTAAGTTAAAAACATAGGGCATTTTTACATGTGGTAAAAATACATGGCACTGGGCACTTTAATTAGTGAACCACGTTAATTAGAAGCGCCTGCATGCCATGGGTATCAACATCCTTGCACTGAAAAAATGCCAACAGGGTACTCTACACTAAAGCTCATCGAACATATTATATTTCAAAGAGCCCCACCACCATTTTTTCAGTGCAGAGATGTGCAGCGAGGCTGATATACATGATGTGGAAGGTTGCCAGATGTGTGAGTTCATGCCGAATTATATAAGGACTGAATTAAGCACAGGCTCAGACCTGGATGTTCAATTTAAAACTTTTACTGTTTCACAAAGTCATAAACTAAGGAGGTCTGTTGGTTCACGAGTTTCCCAAATCAAGCCCTTGCTTTCTAACCTGAAGGCTAGGTGCGGCTGCCCGATTCAGTAGTCTCAGAACTGGTCAACAGCTCATTTAAAAGGAGTCCCTTATCTTTTTTTAGACAAAAGATACAAAACTGTCCCCACTCTGTCTGAGTGAGGCATCTAACATAACTTTTCTATTACTTATATATGATAACACGTATACATATGCATTTCTAATTCTTACTTCTATTGGTTACTAGTTAACTCATCTATATTCTACACGCTCTTTATTATAATTGGTTACGCTTCTTATGTTAATTTCTAATAGTTTACTTATAATACTCCCCAGACTTTATCAGCGTGATATATGGTTGTTTTTGTTCTTGCGGTTCAGCCTTGCATTTCCGTATTTTCAAAAAAAACACTGCTTTGCTTGCAATTTTTATCATACTGTCAGCATTCTTATTCAAGGGTCAGATAGCGAAAACCAGAATGTCAATCGCTGACTTCTCAACCTCCTTGAAGCATTCTGGGAGTTTTAGTGCGTTGTTAATTATGCTAGGCCTTGCTTAGCATGAGCACTCTCTCACACCAGAGTACATCAATTTCTGTGCTCCAGCACACTCAATTAATCGAGTCTGTTTCAACTGGCTGGATGTCCAGTGTGTTGGAGCAGGCTCCATGCATGGGTATACGAGCCCATAGGTACTGCATCTCCTACAAAGCCCTGAAAACTATAAGTTTTCTTCCACCTGATCCAATCTCTCCTCTGACCCCAAACTCAAAACATTATTTTCTGCTCCTGTTACCAAATGAAAAACCAAAACAAGCAGTAGGAAAATGGAGAACAGTGAGGCAACCATTTACACATTTATGTGCTGTCAAATGCACATAAATAAGCAAAGCAAACTGAAAGAGGAAAAGAAAACGTTTCCATAATCTTGTCATAGTACTTGGTAGATCAGGAGGTCATAAAGAGTAAAAGAAGATTACCATGACTGCCTTTTTAGCTTGCTCACTTGAAATATCCTCATTTTTTTCAAAAGCACTGAGTACTGGCCAAACTGCTGAAATCAGCATGAGTTGTACCATTGACTTGGAGAAGCAAAGTTAGCTGAACTCCAAACATTATTGAAAATCCCTCTGCTGCTTCATTCCCTGGTGGTAGCAGCAGGTAGCTGTGAAAACATCAGATTTAAAGAAAAAGCCTGGCAGGAAAAAAGAGCAGCTTTCTACCAACATTGCAGTTTGCTTTGCAATTTTTCAGAAAAGAATTTTTGGACAAGCATTAAACATAGATAATTTTTAAAAGTTCTTGTATGAAAAGCCTAAATTCCATAAAAAAAGTTAGAAATACATGAGAAAGCATTTTAAATGCCTCCATTTGAGTAACTGATGATTTTCATGTTCTATTGATTTTATATGATAAGGATCAAAATCAGCACAGCCTATTTTAAGCAAAATAGTATTTTAAAAAAACACACCACATATATTACTAAAGGAAAGAGGCAGTCACCTTAAAACAGCAAAACGGAAAAAAGCAAAAAAAGTCAGGCAAAACGTGAATCAGCTAGTGATTCAGGTTAAGAAAATTACCAACTTCTCAGAAAGGCAAAAGCAACAGCTTAAGTCCTGTTACCGTACAGTTGAGAAATCTTGTATTAGTGAAGTATGCCACAGAATTAGGAAATAAAACTGTCTCAATTTCATTTTAAACAATTACTACTTGGTTTTAAGAGAACCCTCCCTTCTTCCCTCTTGAAACAAAAGACTGGAAGTTAGATGCACAATCTCTTCTAGACATGCAGGTATATTCCTAATAAGGCTGTCAATCACCATTAATGTGGGTGATTAATGCAAGAACCACTGGCACAGCCACATGAGGTATACCGACATATTGGTGCCATATTGGAACACTTTGTCCAGGTGCGCAGCCTGCCTGTGGCCAGGAATACAGCTTGGCAGCATGTAGGTAAGTCTGTGGAAGGGAAGGGGTGGGGTGGCGAGGGAGAGCAGATTGAGGACTCCATGGTGAGGGACAGAGTGGGGCAGGGACAGGGGCTTGGGTACCCTGGGGCTGGGGCAGGTAGTGGAACGGAGCCATGGGAGGCTCGTTCAGGGGTATGGGGGCTTCCTATCACTGCACACACCCCCAAGGGAGGCATGGGGAGCATGTGCCCACCAGATTTGTGCGTGGGGCAGAGGTGGGCTGCCTGCTGAAGGCTTGGGCTCTGCACCCTGCTGCCTCTGTCCTGGGAGTTGCACAACACCATGTTGTGCCTCCCACCGCTGGGCAGGCAGGGAAAGCAGAGCAGCCAGTGCGCAGCTCCCAGGACAGAGGCAGTCAAACCCCAGTTTATTAGGACAGCTATGCATCTGTCTAGCTATTTGCTAGCGTTTGATACTGTAGAAATAAACTTATTAGCAGCATTACTTTCAGTCCGGCAAATCTCGTAACAATTAAAGGTTTGGCTTTGATATTTAAAGTATTTTCCAAGTACAGAAACCCATCTTGTAGTTAAAGAGCAAATGGAATGTGAACTAATGAAATTTCATGTTGACTGAATACATGCCATTGAACTTGTTTGTTCAAATTCCAGTCCCATACCCATGTTTCGACAATGGCATGGTACTCAGGGCACTAAGATTCCTGGACAGAATGCACCTGAGACGTACTGAGTATTACCTGAGTAGCTCACATAAGTTTCTAGCAGAAATTGGGATCCTTAAAAATATTTATACAACTCCTTTCTTTTCAAATTATGCAAGATATGCAAATGCTCAGAAGCTTCTTACTTGAAATAATGATTAACTTGATCTGCTAACTGTTTACCACCACCAAGAATTTGTAGATCACACTGACATATCAGTTAGCAATATAAAGAAAGGTAATGTTGTTAAAGGCACAAGATTTAGAACAGAAACTTACTAAGTCTCTCATACCACATATGTGGATGGGAAGAGTAGGGAGTTTCTTCCTTTTAACCACATATTAGTTTGGAAAAACTCGGTTCATGCAGTTTGGCTAGTAACTAGGCATCTGACTTCATGAAAGATTTCCCACACCATATGATAGCAAAAAAAAGAAAAAAGCTTCCAATTCAAAGCTGTTTGCATTTATAAATCCTCTAAATGTCCAACTGAAACATTCTTGCATCGTTTACTATCAAAGTTCCTCAGAGATTACTATATTATAGCCATATCTAACCCCCACACCCCCCAAAAAAACCAACCAAACAAACAAGAACACTTACATCTACTCCTCCAAACAGATCAAATGTGTATGTGTTTGGGTAAGTGGACTCTTGAGCAGGTTTTCTATCATCTGTGACAAATGCCATGGCCTCCACTGAAAGAAGTGGAGAAATTTCCTGTAAGGAAAAACCCACGTGTTCACTCATAAAACTTTCACACTGTAGCATTTCTGTAACAGCCCTGGATAGTCTGGAGGAGCAAACAATTCCTGTGCAATTATTAGGGGGTGTGTGAAATGGGCCATATTCAATTCGGATTCGGCCCAAATGAGGGGACAGTGATTCGATTAGTTGATTCTGATCACTGTCCTGATCTGATTTGGCTGAATCCAAATCTGAAGATTCGATGCTGATTCAGAGAATCAGCGATTCGGTGATAGATACAGCTTTAAATGTTTTTGATATATACCTCAAGGTACCAGGTGAGGCTCATGAACGCTGAGATGGTGAGACAGATGAAGTGGCTCAGTGACTGGCCATGGGGGGGGACCCCCCCAGGTGCCCCCCCAGACCCAGGAGGCACAGGTCACTGAGCTGGGGGAGGGAAGGCTCCCTGCGCACTTCACGGCGGACCTGGAAGTGGACAGGAAGTGCTTCTGGTCCACTTCCAGGTCCACCACCAAGCGCTCTGGGGACTCCCCCGTGGGACACCCCATCCGCACTGTGGAGGATTCTAATTTGATTCAGAGAGATTAAAGGGTCTCCTGATTTGATTCGGATTCTGAGATTCAGCCACTGAATCAGGCCGAATCTCCACCAAATTGAATCAGAGACCAAAGCTTCACACAGCCCTAGTAATTATGTGCTTTTCAATTTATGCTAGTTCACAGATATCATAAGACCCTCCCTTAATGCCACATAATCAATGCGAACATAAAAGGAATTCCAAGGACTAAAGCCAGAATTGGATCAGATAAAGTTTCTTAATATGCCAAATACAGAGCCTGGTTTTCAATAACAATAGTCGTATTTCAAAATCAGGGGCTGAGAACACATTACCTTAAGGATGTTTTGGCACTGGGAGAAGTCGCTGTTTGGGTGGCTGTTCTCATATAGTTTCTGCAACAGTAGGGGAATTCCATTCCATTTAGCCTGTTTGTCTCTTTCCTTTAACAAGGCCTCTGTGATCTACAAAGAAGGATGAGAGAATATTGGTTTTCTTTTTTTTTTCCCTCTGCCCTTTCCCCAAACTGAATATCACCATTATGCAACTGCACAAACCACCTTCACCACATTTTCAGATTTGGTGAGCTCATTCTGTTTTACCCACTTCACAAAATCCATGATAATTGAATGGGTGGTTTAAGGTTTTAACTTTAATTTTTAACTACATTTTAAGAAAGAAACTCAAGAATCAGTAGAATACTACATGTAATATTAGTTCTCCCCAAATACAGAATAGCAGTACTACAGTCTACCTTTTTTTCCTCTCTGCTCACTTGTGCAGGATTAGCATTTGGCTAATTTTATGCTTAGACCACTGTGGCCAATCTGTTTTTACTGTCAAGACATCTGTGCTTTCTGACTTCTAGGACATTTAATATGTCTTTCCATATTGATATTAGATTGACTATAAAGTCTCAATAGTTCCACTAAATTTCATAGTTTCATAGTTTGTAGGGTTGGAAGGGACCAGAGCAGATCATCAAGTCCGACCCCCTGCCATGGCAGGAACCAGTCCTGGGGTCAAACGCCCCGGGCAAGATGTTCATCTAGCCTCCTCTTAAAGACCCCCAGGGTAGGAGCCAGCACCACTTCGCTTGGAAGTTGGCTCCAGATCCTAGCTGCCCTAACAGTGCAGTAGCACCTCCTGATGTCTAATCTGAATTTACCCTCTGCCAGCTTGTGACCGTTATTTCTAGTCACTCCTGGTAGTGCTTGGGGGAACGGGGACTCCCCCAATGCCTGTTGGTAAAATTTAATTAGTTTGTATTTTCCCTTCCTGCTGACATCAGTAAAGCTCCAAGATGTATGCTGCTCTCAGCATAAACAGTTTCTTGTCTCCTTAACCGAAGAACTACATTGGTCCAAAGTGGAGAGAACATGAGCTAAAATTCTCTCTCTATAAAGGGCTATATATAGTCCGTCTGTCTGCATGTCTGTTTGTTGTTAACGCTTTTGGCCAACTGTGCACGCACTGCTGAGACGGTGGGCAGCGATTGGCTGCGCAGGCCCAAGTTTGAGGTGCTGCTGGGGAAGTTTGTGACAGTGGTGAACACACCCCGGCTACCCAAACAACGGGGTTTCCTCATGCCTCCCTGCCTGAGGGTGAAGGGGGAGGGGTCATGGTGGCAACAGCTGGCAGGGAGGGAGAGGCGGCAGAGGAGGGAGGCTGCATGGCCCCGGCTGGGTGTGGGGTGGGGGGAGGCAAAGGGGAGGGTCATGGTGGCAGCTGTTGTTAGGGCTGGCTGGCAGGGAAGGAAGGAAGGAAGGAAGGGAAGGAAGAGGGGAGAGGAGGGGGGCAGTCATGGTGGAGGTACCCCCCCCCGCCGTGACAACAGCTGGTAGGGAGGGGGAGTTGTAAAGGGAGGGGACGGGGGGAAGACCTGCTGTGAGGAGGAGGTTGGCGGGGGGAAGGAGCCCCCATGCTGGACGAAGAGGTGGCAGTGGCAGAGGGAGTCTTTACAGGGCTGACCCCAAAGGGTGAGCAGGGGACGAGGGGGGGCCATGTAAACTCTCCTTGAAATCCATCATTCTTGACAGGCAATTAGCTAGTTCTAATATAAAAGCCTTAGTCTGTCTGCCTGTTTGTAACGCTTTATTCGCATTCTGATTGGTTATCTGAAACAGCCAATCAGAGTGCTCCAAGAGCATTACAGAGAGGAGGTGGTGACGGCATGGCAATGGAGTGCCGCCATGACGGCAGAGATAGAACAGCCAGAGAAGAGGGTGCTGGCCAAGGGAAACAGAGGGGATGGCAGGGCAAGCTCCCCCCACCCGTCCTGCTCCTGGGAGATGGTTAGCAGCGCTGGGTGGTGAGTGGTAGCGCTCTGTTCCCCCCATACCTCCCCCTTGTCATTACTGATGGGCATTTGGCTAGCATATAAATAAAAAACATAGCAGCAGCAGCAGCAAGGGACCAAGGACAATGATCACTCCCCCACCAGGGCCCCTCAGCCTCTTTACATCTCCTTAGATTTTGTAATATCTCGAATACTATTGAATATTTTGTTCAGTGTAGTATTGGCTCATCATTTGTCAGGACCTACAGTTAGGGGAAGCCAGCAGTAAAGGTTAGGGTTACAATCTTGGAAAAGGCCTTCAATCCAGAATACCTTATTATTTGCTGTTAAAAAGTCCTTTCCATCTATGCAAGCTTTCTTTAGTCTTATCTTAGGTCTGATATCATAAGACTCTCCTCTCCATATGGTATGCCAAAACCTGTCATGTAACAAGAATTATAGAAAAACAGGCTGCTCAAAAATCCGGAACAAAAAATTTCTAATGAAGATGTAAACTTGAACTTGTTGAAGCTCTGTGGCTCTACTGAAGTCAAATGTTTAACAACGGTTAGATGACAGAAATTAATTTCACTGAAGAGTTCAAGGACCACCAGTTTAAAAAGCCTCCCATTCTTGCCTGCAGTTTACCCCTTCCTTAGGGGTAAACTGTTATTAAGGGTCTGAAATCCCATTCTGCTTTCAAATGGTACAAAACACTGTGATTCTTAAAAACAGAAGCTGCTAAATTTGTTAAAATTCAAGTGTTGGAACAACTTGAAACAAAATAGAAAACAAGTTTTAAAATCTCTCCAACAAACTGTGTGTTTGGTGAAACTTAATACACAAGACTTTACAACCAGCATTACTCCTTCATCTTAGTAGTAAATTGAGAATCTAACTCAATACTTACGACTATTTAAAAACACCTATTAGCACCTCTTGAAATCTCTGACCTATACATTCTTCCCTTCAAAAAACAGAAGACAGCAAAGCAAACACACCAACTTATACACAGACCTTAAAAACCTAAAGCCCAAAATCCAGCTTGTTCCCACCTCTCCAGATGCTCAGAGAAAGATAACGTTCACACTGAAGCCTGGTCAGAAGATAAGAAACTCTGTACCAGTAAGGCAACTGTAGAGAAAATTAATTCCAAAGCCTACCAATGGGTCCTTGATTTGTAGACTGGTGTCTTCCAGAGTAGGTGAGCAAGGAAGCACGGGCCTACACTCAAACCAATTGCATTTCTTTGTCTATCTGTATGAATACAGTAATTCTTGAGAAATGCATCTGGTAAATCCAGAAAAGGTTCTTTGGGTAAATCTGATGATATCTTTTATTAGAAAAAAAAATTCTTAGCAAGCTTTTGGGTTTAAAAACCCTTCGTAAGGCTGAGGAAGCATCTGCAGCTTGCGTATGCTCCTCCTGGAGGGAATGAATAGTGAAGAAACCAGAGGCTCATACGTGTGCAAGAAAGCTTTGAGCTTTGAGGTGAAAATGTAAATTGAGAAGTCAGTGGGTTCCAACTAGTTAGTTGGTCTAATAAAAGATATCAGATTTACCCAAAGAACCTTGTCTGCCTAGGTCTTCAGACAAACCTACAACCTACACCCCGTAACATGGAAGATATCAAATTTTGCCATTTGAAAATGGAAACTGTACAACATGAAAAAGAAAAAAGCCAACTCAACAGCAACATATTTGTTAAGCCTATGCAAGAAACACAACATCATTCCCAGAGGACTAAACATCCACAATCCTCTGACTACTACACACCACTCCAAATACGCTTCACAGCTATGCAGGAGAACTTCAGAGAAAAAAAGAAATCATCTTCTTTACATAATTTACTCCAAAAGAGACCAACTCAGGAAGGAAATCAATGCATTATACAACCTAAAAGAGAAAAATCCAGACATCTTCCCTAGTATCATACAACTACCAAATTGCCTGCCAAGAATGATGGGGAGGGGCAAGCAGGGGCGGAGCCCTGCGTCCAGCGGTGCACCACCGTGCCCCCCCTCAATCCGGTTCTGGGCCTGGTATACCCCCCAGGCACTCCAGATCCAGCTCTGCTCCACCTCCTGGCCTGGATCCAGCCCCGCTCCACCCACCACTCCAGGTCCGGCCCCGCTCCACTCCCCTGGCCGGTCCGGGTCTGACACCACTCTATCCTTCCTCTCCGCTGAGCCAGGTCTGGACCTGCTCCACCCCCACTGCCCGTGCCAGGTCATGCTGCGCTCCATACCCCCTCCCCACTGCTCTGGGTTTGGTCCCACTCCACCCCCCTGCCTCGCCGCTCTGGGTCCAGCCCCACTCCACCTGGCCACTGCTCCATGCCTCCCCACCTCTCCGGGTCTGGCCCCACTCCCCCCTGGCCTCTCCAGGTCCAGCTCTGCTCTACCCCTTTCCCCATCGCTCTGGGTCTGGCCCTGCTCCACCCCCCCCAACCGCTCCAGGTCTGGTCCCGCTTTACCCCTCCTCCCCGCGTCCGCCTGGCCCATGTCCACCTCCCTCCTTCCCTGCCCACCTCCTCCCCCTTCCTGCCAGCTGTTCTGGGGGAGCGTCGGAGCCAGGTGGTGGTGGGGCACCACCACCATGATTCCCCACCCATCCTCAGGCAAGAAGGCATGGGGAAGCCCCACTGCTTGGGAGGCTGGGGCATCTTTGCCACAAACTTCCTCAGCAGTAGCTCAAACATAGGCCCGTGCAGCCAGGGCCATGCAGGCAATCGCTGCCCACCCTCTCAGCGGTGCATGTGCAGTTACCCAAAAGTGTTACGGACAGATGCACACACAGACACATAAACAGACAGACTATGCCTTTTATTATATTAGAATGGATACAATGAAACTACAAAACATTTTCTACAACATCCGTTTAACATAAAAAGAAAAAATGGAACAAATTACTCCAGGAACAACTTTCCCAACCATAAAACAACCATCAGAGAAACAACACCAACACCTTACAACATTCAAACCTCAGACTTGATGAAAATGAAAGCAGCAACCAACCCTCAAATATCAATCTTTCCACGTACACACCTACCAAAACTCAAAAATCTGTCCTTTCTAAAGGCCTAAATTTCTGTCCAGAAAAATACCCATATACAATACTTCAATGTGGAGAACTAGAAGAATTCTTCCAACACCTCCGCCTCAAGGAATATTTCCACAACCAAAA